CAGCAGTGAGAGAGTGGTGGGAAATGTGAATGTGTCTGTGTGGGGTAGTGGCAGGGGGATCAGAATATACGGATTACAAGGAAAACTGTGACTCTTGGCAAATTACTTGTTTTGGTGCTCCTCTTCATTTTTTTTAAATTATGGCAGAAGACTTTGTTTACACATTTCTAGCTGTATAAAATACAAATTCTTCAGTTATTGCATTTCTGTAATACATTAAAATACATGAGAAAATTACATTAAAAAGAGGCGTGATTACAGAAACAAAATGTTACTGAAATATGATATCATCCTATAATTCATAATTATATTTGTAAATATCATGTTTATAAGTAATTTATAAGAAACTAGAGCCATATGCAAAGCTTTTCATACTTAATTTAGTGTTTTATTTTTTAGGTAAGCCATTTATTTTTTTAAAATTATGGCTTTCTGTTATTGCATTTTAGGTTTTGGGGTACAGGTGAAGAACATGCAAGATTGTTGCATAGGTACACACATGGCAACGTGATTTGCTGCCCTCCTCCCCTTCACCTATATCTGGTATTTCTCCCCATGCTATCTCTCCCCAGCTCCCCACCCCTCAACTGTCCCTCCTCTATTTCCCCCCAACAGACCCCAGTGTGGGATGCTCCCCTCCCTGTGTCCATGTGTTCTCATTGTTCAACACCCACCTACAAGTGAGAACATGCGATATTTGATTTTCTGTTCTTGTGTCAGTTTGCTGAGAAAGATGGTTTCCAGGTTCATCCATGTCCCTACAAAGGACAGAAACTCATTTTTTATGGCTGCATAGTATTCCATGGTGTATATGTGCCACATTTTCCCTGTCCAGTCTATCATCAATGGGCATTTGGGTTGGTTCCAGGTCTTTGCTATTGTAAACAGTGCTGCAATGAACATTCATGTGCATATGTCCTTATAGTAGAATGATTTATAATCCTTCAGATATATACCCAGTAATGGGATTGCTGGGTCAAATGGAATTTCTATTTCTAGGCCCTTGAGGAATCGCCACACTGTCTTCCACAATGGTTGAACTAATTTACACTCCCAACAGCAGTGTAAAAGTGTTCCTATTTCTCCACATCCTCTCCAGCAACTGTTGTCTCCAGATTTTTTAATGATCACCATTCTAACTGGTGTGAGATGGTATCTCAATGCAGTTTTGATTTGCATTTCTCTAATGACAAGTGATGATGAGCATTTTTTCATATGTTTGTTGGCCTCATGTATATCTTCTTTTGTAAAGTGTCTGTTTATATCCTTTACCCACTTTTGAATGGGCTTGTGTATTTTTTTCTTGTAAATCTGTTTGAGTTCTTTGTAAATTCTGGATAGCAGCCCTTTGTCAGATGGGTAAACTGCAAAAATTTTTTCCCATTCTGTTGGTTGCTGATTCACTATAATAACTGTTTCTTTTGCCATGCAGAAGCTGTGGAGTTTGATTAGGTCCCATTTGTCTATTTTGGCTTTTGTTGCCAATGTTTTTGGTGTTTTGGTCATGAAGTCCTTGCCTACTCCTATGTCCCGAATGGTTTTGCCTAGGTTTTCTTCTAGGGTTTTTATGGTGTTAGGTTTTATGTTTAAGTCTTTAATCCATCTGGAGTTAATTTTAGTGTAAGGTGTCAGGAAGGGGTTCAGTTTCTGCTTTCTGCACATGGCTAGCCAGTTTTCCCAACACCATTTATTAAACAGGGAATCCTTTCCCCATTGCTTGCTTTTGTCAGGTTTGTCAAAGATTGGAAGGTTGTAGATATGTTGTGTTGCCTCCAATGCCTCTGTTCTGTTCCATTGGTCTATATCTCTGTTTTGGTACCAGTACCGTGCTGTTTTGATTACTGTAGCCTTGTAGTATTGTTTGAAGTCCGGTAGTAGTGTGATGCCTCCCACTTTGTCCTTTTTGCTTAGAATTGACTTGGCTATGCAGGCTCTCTTTTGGTTCCGTATGAAGTTTAAGGTGTTTTTTTCCAGTTCTTAGAAGAAGGTCATTGGTAGCTTGATAGGAATAGCATTGAATCTGTAAATTACTTTGGGCAGTATGGCCATTTTCACAATATTGATTCCTCCTAACCATGAACATGGAATTCTCGAATCGATGAATGCTGGACCATCCCTGAGGCCTGCCGAGGAGACATGATGTGTATTAACCAAAATGGTGGGTATTTATGCATCCCCCGAACAAACCCCATGTATCGAGGGCCCTACTCGAACCCCTATTCGACCCACTACTCAGGTCCGTACCCAGCAGCTGCCCCACTGCTCTCAGCTCCAAACTATTCCACAATCTCCAGGCCTCTTATATGCCACTTTGGATACCAGATGAAGGCAACCAGTGTGTGGATGTGGACAAGTGTGCAACAGATTCCCACCAGTGCAACTCTACCCAGATCTGTATCAACAATGAAGGCGGGTACACCTGCTCCTGCACCGATGGATACTGGCTACTGGAAGGCCAGTGCTTAGATATTGATGAATGTCACTATGGTTACTGCCAGCAGCTCTGTGTGAATGTTCCTTGATCCTACTCTTGTACATGCAACCCTGGTTTTACCCTCAATGAGGATGGAAGGTCTTGCCAAGATGTGAACGAGTGTGTAACTGAGAGCCCCTGTGTGCAAACCTGCGTCAACACCTATGCCTCTTTCGTCTGCCACTGTGACCCGGGATATGAACTTGAGGAAGATGGTGTTCACTGCAGTGATGTGGACGAGTGTAGCTTCTCTGAGTTCCTCTGCCAACATGAATGTGTGAACCAGCCTGGCACATATTTCTGCTCCTGCCCTTCAGGCTACATCCTACTGGATGACAACCAAAGCTGCCAGGATATCAATGAATGTGAGCACAGAAACCACACATGCAACCTGCAGCAGACTTGCTACAATTTACAAGGGGGCTTCAAATGCATTGACCCCATCCGCTGTGAGGAGCCTTATCTGAGGATCAATGATAACCGCTGTATGTGTCCTGCTGAGAACCCTGGCTGCAGAGACCAGCCCTTTACCATCTTGTACCTGGACGTGGATGTGGTGTCAGGACACTCTGTTCCCGCTGACATCTTCCAAATGCAAGCCACGACCTGCTACCCTGGGGCCTATTACATTTTCCAGATCAACTCTGGGAATGAGGGCAGAGAATTTTATGTGCAGCAAACGGGCCCCATCAGCACCACCCTAGTGATGACGCGCCCCATCAAAGGGCCCCAGGAAATCCAGTTGGACTTGGAAATGATCACTGTCAACACTGTCATCAACTTCAGAGGCAGCTCTGTGATCCGACTGTGGATATATGTGTCGCAGTACCCATTCTGAGCCTTGGGCTGGAGCCTCTGATGCTGCCTCTCATCAGCACCAAGGGACAGGAGAAGAGAGGAGAGGAAACAACAGAGAGAATAAGAGTGAGACAGACGTTACGCATTTCCTGCTGAATGTTTCCCCAAAGAGTCAGCCCCGACGTCCTGACTCCCACCAGTACTATTGCAGACCTGTCGCCTTGAAGGACATGCCACCCCCAGTTCCTATGATGCAGTTATCAAAAAGTATTATCACTGGCTCCCTGATATAAGATTGTTGATTTTTCAAGGCCTTCAGTTTATTTCCATGTTTTTTAAGGAACCTACATTAGGTTTGTGGTGGTCTATGTTCAAAGACTGCGAACAGCTTGCTGTCACCTCTTCCACTCCTTCTCTCACTGTGTTGCTGCTTTGCAAAGACCTGGGAGCTGGTGGGGAACGCTCGGAGTAGCTAGTTTGCTTTTTGCATACATTGAGAAGGCTATGTAAACAAACCGCAGCAGTATCGAAGGGTTTTCAGAGAATGAATTTCAAAACCATGTCTGGTATTTTCAGCCATAAAAGAAGTTTGAATTGTCCTTAAATTAGTATCACTGTTTAATCCTGTCTTGTTCATTTTGAGTATTAAAAAAAAATAAGTTGTAGAATTCCTTCCAAAGGCCTTCAGACATGTGCTATGTTCTCTTTTCCCAAACCCAGCCTCCTCTCCATTTTAGCACAATGTTTTCTTTGAGGACTCCTTAATCTTGCTTTCTTTAGAATTTTTACCCAATTGTATTGGAAGGCAGAGGTCCGCAAACTGATTAAATATTTGAAGAGAAACAAAACCTGTCTGGTCACGACAGGAGCCTGATTTATCTTGTTCACAGCTATATTCCTCAGCACCTGGCACAGTTTCAGGTGCTCAATAAATGTTTGTTGAATGAATAAATTTGACCTTATTTATTCTTAAAAGGCAGTCATAGAAGGTGTTTACTTGGTTATAGAATACTTTTTTCTTTGGTTGATTGTTGGCTTCAATGGTATTTGCCAATTCATTTGCATTGTATCAAAAGGTAAAACTTGACATCTTTGTGAAATCTGGAGGCTTCCATTTTTATCTCACTGTACCATGCACCTAATTTCTAGAAAGAAACTGCAAGTAATACATATTAGGCTGTGATTTTCTAATTTTGAAAAGTGGTTGATTTTGGTGATTATGTGATGCTGCAAAGAGGTGCTGTGGTGGCTGTGCAGGTATTACTTGATATTGAGTCAATTCAGTGCTGTTTTGGGGAAAACTAAACCATCAATTGAGATCTTGATAAAATAAGATGGTGGCTCAGTGGTACTGTTTTTTCTTAGGAATATAAAAATTTCCTTTTTCTAAGGTTACATCTTTTTTATACTCTCTGTTTTGAAGTGGAAGACCAAGCAGTCAGAATGAACTTCTGGGTTTTAATTAAGGGTACAGCATGGTATAACTAAAAGAGTATGAGCTTCATTTTAAAAGGACCAGCAGAATCCTAGTTTCATAAATTAACTGCATGATTTTCAGCAAGTTGTTTAATGTCTATTGACCTCAGTTTTTCATCTATAAAATGTAACTGTGTGTCTCCTAAGGTGGTTGTGAGGATCAGGTGAAATTTATATTTCAAGTGTCCAGCACAATATTTGGCAGATAAAGTACTCAATAAAGGTTATCCCTTCTCTATAAATAAAAATCAATACAACATTAAAATCATTATATTTTAGAAATAGCAGAAAAATAGATCAGTTTTAAAATCAGCAGGTAGAATAAAACAAATAACAACAAAAAAACCCTGATACTTATTTTTTGAGTTTAAGTCGAACACCCATATGAATTTATTAAATCCAGACTGTGTTAAAGGGTGGTGGTAGGGGGGAAGTGGTTGAGGGATGAGGGACAAGATGATGGACGGCCATGGGCATCCTATAGTGGGGCCTGGCCCCAGCCCCATCCCTGCCCACTCCCTTGGCAGCACTACTTCAGCTTCACCATGATTCCCAGTGGTGCTGGGCTGGCAGGGCGAGATGGCTGGAAACACAGAGGGACAGAGGGACAGATGGCACCTCCACAAACAAGCCCTGGCCTGCCCTGGCCCCTACATCACACACTGGTCCCTGACTCGCGGTGGGCCTCCTGCCACCCTGGCCTGATCTATCTAGGGAAAGGGTGACAGGGAGGGGGGTGAGGGGGCCAGGGCACAGGGGTTGTGGTCACCAGGAGCCGGAACAGGCAAGGACCAGTTGTGACTAATCCTTTTTCTTGTCCTCTTCTTGCTTTGGAGGGGCCTCCTGGGGCTTGCTGGCAGAGCTGGCCCCCTGGGTGGGCTTGGTGGGCAGGGATGTGGAGATCTCCTCCCTGGTGGCGGTGGTCATGGTGGGTGCAGGTGCGGGCATGAGGGACCCTGCTGCTGTGGGAACCTCGGCCACAGGGGTGGAGGCTATGGGGTCCTCTCCACTCGTACCAAACTCGTTGACCTGAGTGGGGTCGACATGGTAGATTCTCTGTTGGTAGAGGTAGATGAAGAAAACCACATCATCTCTCAGGCAGCCAATCCGGTACATAACAGGCATCTTGATGACAAAGGCGAACAGGTCGTCGATGAAGGTGTTAAGGGCCTTGTAGTTGAGCATGCGCCATGGCAGGTGGGCCACGGACTTGAGCTTGTAGTTGATGAAGAGCTAGGGCGTCATGGTGATGAAGCCAAAGGTCAGCAGGAAGCCATAGAGCATGCTGAGCACCCAGGAGTACCAGCCCTTGTGCTCCAGGTACAGAAGGCTGTAGACGGCGTAGCAGCCCAGGAGTGGGAAGAGGATCCAGGACAGGTACCAGAACACCATATCATCATACACCTTGGTCGAGGACTCGATATACGTGGACTTGTCCTTGAATGACAGGTGGGAGAAGATACCTGCCACCCTGTGCTCCTGGTCCAGCTGGACGTCCATGACCTTGGTGATCTTCCAGAGGTTGATGATGGGCTATCAGTGCACCTTTGGAATGCTGCAGGCCGGTCAGCATGGCATGGCCCAGACGTGGAGGCAGGCCATCATCCTGGCCGCAACCCCTGGAGAGAAGCTCCCCCTGTTCCCGGAGCCACTGCATGTGTTTGCGCCCTGGGCCTGCCAGCTGAGCATGGTGGTGGATGACAAGAAGTTCGTGAGCAACATAAACAGGTTGAGCTCGGGTCCTTTCTGGACCATCACGGTGCGAGACACGTTGTCTGACCTGCTGGAGGTGCAGAACAGAGCCTCAGCACTGGAGATCTTCTACAATGGGGAGCCTCAGTCCTGGTTCCAGAGGCAGTTCCAGGCATACAGTACCAGCCTATCCTCAGGGACCACATCTGTAAGAACATGAGAGCAGTGGTGGCTGCCCGCATGTGGCACATCCTCTTGGCCCCTGGCTCAGACTGACAAGATCTACCCAACATCAAAGTGCTGCTTGGATGGTACCATGGCCCGGAAGCTGCGGTATACCCACCACGACAGGAAGAATGGTCGCAGCAGCTCCGGGGCCCTCTGTGGGGTCTGCTCCTGTGTGGAAGACGGCAAAGCCTGTGACTCTGCAGCTAGGCAGTTCAACACCCTCATCCCCTGGTGCCTGCCCCACACTGGGAACTGGCACAACCACTGGGCTGGCCTCTATGGAAGGCTCGAGTGAGACGGCTTCTTCAGCACAACCGTCACCAACCCTGAGCCCATGGACAAGCAGGGCCGCGTGCTCCACCCCGAGCAACACCATGTGGTGAGTGTGCCCACTCCCAGGGCTTCCCCGACACCTACCAGCTCTTTGGCAACATCCTGGACAAGCACAGGCAGGTGGGCAATGCCATGCTACCGCCCCTGGCCAAAGCCATTGGCTTGGAGATCAAGCTCTGTGTGTTGGCCAAAGCCTGAGAGAATGCCTCAGCTAAAATAAAGGAGGAAGGTGCTAAGGACTAGTTCTGCCCTCCCATGTTTCTGGCACCAGGAATCCCCAATATGCACTGATATTGTGTTTTTAACATGTCAATCTGTCCGTTCACATGTATGGTAAGGTGCTTGTGGCCTTGGCTGACATGAAGCTGTTGTGCAAGGTTCGCTTATGAACTAATGATTTAGTGATCAAATTGTGCAGTACTTTGTGCATTCTGGATTTTAAGTTTTTTATTATGCATTATATCAAATCTACCACTGTATGAGTGGAAATTAAGACTTTAAAATGCAATGAAAAAAAAGAGAAAATGTCAAAGGAGAAATCCTCAGACACCACCAGAGTCAAGACCTTCAGATTTCATTTGTATTTCTGACAGCAAGAACATTTCTGGTGAGGCACCAGAGGGTATAAAGGCAGAACCATTGACCCCCATGGAAGATGCACTACCACCCATCCTATCAGGACAGGTCAAATCCGAGGACAGTGACTGTCACAGAAAAATAGAAACTTGTGGTTCCAAGAAATCTGAAAGGTCTTGCAAAGGTGCTCTTTATAAAACCATGGTGTCTGAAGGCATGCTCACCTCTCTGCGAGCTAATGTTGACAGAGGGAAATGAAGCTCAGGAAAAGGAAACTCCTCTGATCATGAAGGGTGTTGGAATGAAGAAAGCTGGACATTTAATCAGAGTGGGATCCATGCGAGCAAGAAGTTCAAGAAGACAAAGCCAAAGGAAGACTGTCTCCTTGGCTCCCCAAAGCTGGATGAAGAATATGAAAAAAAATTCAACAGCCTTCTGCAATATAGACCTATTACATTTGACCAGAAATGTGTTCCTGTCCCAAGAAAAAAGAAGAAGACTGGAAATGTGTCCTCAGAAGTGACTAAAACCAGTGAAGGTTAGATGTGACCTGTACCTTCCTGCCGTGTGGTCAGAATCTCAACTGACCCTTCAGCTAAGTTTCTGCAGCTCCCTTTAGACATGTAATTGGATTTGGAATTGAGGCAACAGGGAGTTAGAATCTCAAGTTGCTTTCCAAGGTTATCTTTGTTTCTTGTTTTTTTCCTTCTTTTCTTTTTTATTTGCATTTTAGGCTTTGGGGTACATGTGCAGAACATGCAAGATAGTTGCACAGGTAAACACGTGGCAGTGTGTTTTGCTGCCTTCCTCCCCTTCAGCCACATTTGGCATTTCTCCCCACGCTATTCCTCCCCAGCTCCCCCCCTCACTGTCCCTCCCCTATTCCCCCAATAGACCCCAGTATGTAGTGCTCCCTTCCCTGTGTCCATGTGTTCTCATTGTTCACCACCCACCTATGAGTGAGAATATGCAGTATTTCATTTTCTGTTCTTGTGTCAGTTTGCTGAGAATGATGTTCTCCAGATTCATCCATGTCCCTAAAAAGGACATGAACTCATCATTTTTGATTGCTGCATAATATTCCATGGTATATATGTGCCACATTTTCCCATTCCAGTCTATACTCGATGGGCATTTGGGTTGGTTCCAGATCTTTGCTGTTGTAAACAATGCTGCAATGTGCTGCAATGATGAACATTGGTGTGCATGTGTCCTTAGAGTAGAACTATTTATGGTCCTTTGGATATATACCCAGTAATGGGATTGCTGGGTCAAATGGAATTTCTATTTCTAGGTCCCTGAGGAATCACCACACTGTCTTCCACAATGGTTGAACTAATTTACACTCCCACCAGCAGTATAAAAGTGTTCCTATTTCTCCACATCCTCTCCAGCAACTGTTGTCTCCAGATTTTTTAATGATCACCATTCTAACTGGTGTGAGATGGTATCTCAATGTGGTTTGGATTTGCATCTCTCTAACGACCAGTGATGATGAGCATTATTTCATATGTTTGTTGACCTCATGTATGTCTTC